TAATGATGGATGGAGAGAGAGAATTAGGCAGATGTGAGCAGTGAGGGTTAGGGTTAGTGTGATAGGTGATTCCCCCTACATTTTTTGTGTCATATATCCATCCTCTGGTCTGATCACAAAAGCATGAAATGTTTGACTTTCATTCTCTGGTAAAAAACATTCATTCTGTTGACAAAGATCCTTTTGTCAGTGGATCCTGGGAGTTCTCCGTGTGTGCGTGTCTGTGTCCTTGTCTTTTTTTGTACATCTGCGCTTTCCCATATTTCCTCTGTAGCCTGTGGGCAGACAGCTGTGTTGCCATGGTTTGATCCACAGATGTTGGAGCGTACAATAAAACTGCCCCAAAGTCCACCCCGCAGCCCCTGCTGTGAGGCAGCTTACATCCGCCTATTATCCTAAGGTTTTCCGACTATTAGACAATTCTCAGACTATTGCCTTAACCCTAGCTTTGATGACCCACCTCAAATGACACCCAGCCTAAGAGATGGGATAGAAAATGTCCCTCATTCCCGTAAAGCTCAGCTCCGGTGTCGTCATGTCTGGCAGCTCAGGTGGAGAGGAAGTATTTTGTGTGTGCATTTGAATTGGCTTGTATTTACAGTCAATGTATTATGTGTGTATGTATGAAAATATGAGAACCGTGAATCAGCGCCGGGTATTGGAGAAGCTCAGCCCTTGTTCACAGTTGCTCTGTGAAGTACCTAAATGTTTCGTTTGACATTTCAACTTCCTCGTGAATCTGTGCACACACATACAGTATATGCCAACATAAATATGCACGCTCATATGAAAGAAACCCTCTTTGTTCTTCCGCTGTTTAACCTCACAACTTTCAACAATGACCTCTTGACATCTATTGGAAGTTTCTATTGCCTCACATGGAAACTATGGATTATTTAACACTGCTTCGTCTCACATCTGGTCGTATGGGACCCCACAGTCAGGTGCTTTTACACCATCTGTTAATACTGTAAACACATGTAATCATAGACTTGATTGGCCATTTTCTATTCACCTTCCACCAATCTTTGACAAAGAAGAAATAAGCCAGAGTGAAATAAAAACTAACACCAACTAGCTGTTTGAACCCAGAAGTCGGCATTAATTCTCTTACTTATTCATCATATGAGAGTGTGTTGGTTTCACTTTGATGTATGATTTTCAATAAAAAGAGATATTTGAATAATTATAGCTGGTATGAGAGATATTCTGGTGGTCTATAGCGTCATCTTGAAATTAGATAGCCATACTTCTTTAAGCAATACAATTTGGCCACATTAATGCTTAGACAAACATAAATGAGTCGAACATTATTTCATAAATGTAGATGATTAATTTCACAGCATGCCCTTTAAATAAATGATGTCTAATGGCTGCCCTGTGCTGTATTTACACAGGCTCGCTGAACATCATAGCCAGAGAAGTGAATAGCTCACACAGCTGTGCGTAGCGCACCGCAGCAGCCTGACTTAACCCGAGTTCAGACATCCCATAATACACCATGAGACCACTCCTAGGATTTAACAACTTTTATGGTGCTGTTGTCAGCTGAAGTGACATTCATACTTATTCTTATTGCTAGAGAAAGAGATAAGAGATCATATTGGAAATGTTTTTCTGGTCACCCAAGTGGGTTGTGAGAGAGTGCAACTGTCAGTTTGTAAATATGCAAGTGTTGGTGCGTCCCCTGGCCTCTGCTCTGGTCTCCCCATCATCTCTGGTTTTGCCGTTTTGGACGGTAGTGTACTCATATAGTCCCTGTGTTGTTAATTGCAGCCTAGAGCCGACGCTGTCCCTGATACCTTTGCAGATTCTCCTGCCAAAAGAACTTTTATGATGAAATGAGAGGCAGGAAAAAGGGAGGTGAGGACAAACATCTTACTTTGCTAACCAGTGTCCAGAATCCACATTCGACTATCATTGTTAGCATGAGACAGGAAGTCAAGGACAATGAATGTGTCTTAATGCTTTTGTGTACATGGTTGTATGTTTAAATGCAGGTAGAAATCTCTTGAATAAATACTTTCCAAGTAGTGATTAGCTAATAAGCATTCATTTAAAGAAATCAGACGTTTTGCAAAGGATTAATGGCTATGCAACCACATGATCTTGAAAACATATCAGGGTCCTTTTTCAAATGATTTGGTGCTGAGTGAGGGGCTGGAAAGTTTTAGTAGGGTTCTGGGGGGAAGATGTGTTGATAAAGACGTGTTTTTAATTAATATTTTCTGAGGAACGCCTCAATGCACCTCTAAAGTCCCTTTTGGATTAGAGCTGGGTCAGAGTAGACAGCAGTGGGCCGCTCTACTTCTTTCCCTCATAAACTAAAGTTAAAAAAAGCTGTGTAATAACAAATGATAACAAAACAGTATACAATCCCCAGTGTACAATCGCATAAGCAGAATGAGTACCACAGTTGAACTTAAGAAGTAGGAGTTCTGCTTTGTGTGTTATTGCTCTCAGATGGAAACACACATTAAATGAGCAAACTTACAAAGTCCTAGCTGGGAAACGTGGTTCTGTCCCAAAGACAACCTGGCTTGACGACTTGAGGGAATTTCTCACACCAACACATCACTTTGTCTCGCCACAGGACCTGCAGCTTTTAAATGGCAATAGGAAACCTCCTGGAGAGTTCGGAGCAGGGCTGGAGTGTTGAAAGAGAGAGGTTAGAAGACAACATTGGGAAGAACGAGACTAGAAGGAATGAAAATTAGAGAGGAAATTGAAGGAGAAGCGAGAGGTTAATCACCCCGACTTGTTAGCTGTCTATCATCTCAGCATAGTGCCAGCTGATGAAGCTATAGATCCTATAACAGACCTGCTGATGGGGTAGTAGCTTTCGCCGGTGGAGGAGCAGCCTGTCATTGGTGTTAATGTGCTCTTAATAATTCGACTCATCTCCCTCCACTCTCCCCTTACCTTCACCCTAACTCCTCTCCATCCTTTCATCCCTCCCTCCTCGTCTGTCCATCGCCCTCCTTGTTTTTCGTGTACTGTGCCTGGCAGCGGTGAGTGCTTTAAGAGGGTATTAGCAGTGCGTCTGTACCGTACTATCACAGCTTAGTGGGCCAGTGCAGGTGAGACAGCAGGGATTTCCTGTTAGGCCTCTCTGCTACATTCTTGCTAAATTGCTCCTTGCCAGGTGGGGTTTGAGAGGAGGGGGTTTCTCTTTCTCCATTATTCTGTCTCACTCACAGTGACACACACACACACACACACACACACACACACACACACACACACACACACACACACACACACACACACACACACACACACACACACACACACACACACACACACACACACACACACACACACACACACACACACACACACACACACACACACACACACACACACACACACACACACACACACACACACACACACACACACACACACACAGAAGGATGTGCATGTGCAAACGAACTGTGCGTATAAAGGATTAGTAGCACCATTATAGTGTGTGTGGATGTGTAAATGTGTGTGTGTCTGTGCGCGCCAGTGTGGAGTGGGGAAGACAGAGCAGGGCTCAGTATTAGACTCTGGTTGTCTGCCAGCGGAGCAATATGAGATAAATACTTCAGCATCTTACACCTGGGGGTCCTGGCCTGCTTCTAATGCTACTGCTTGAGAGGAGCCCTCTGTGTGTCTGAGACCATGCAACGGCTCTCTCATTTTACACAAGCACATACACACAAACACACAGGAAGGAACTAACTCTTGCACAATACAGTGGTGACTCTCAATTGAATTGTGATCTGTTGTTATTTTCCATTTTTGTAGTTATGAGTGGCACATTATTGTTTTTCCTACTGTGGTTTGGCATTCTTTAGTTTCTAAAATACTCCAACGAGTGGCATTCACTTAAATGACAATACTGCAATGTAAATATTGCATACCTTTCACAAGGTGAATCTTTATTAAACAAATATGAATCAATCAACTTTAGTCGTGCTGGAAGGTGCTCTTGTGATTTCATATGAAATACTGCTATTGTTCAAGGTATCAGAGTTAGACATTTCTGTATAGTGAACACACCATTTTGTAAATGTATTTAGTTTCTTTCCACCACTGCTCTCTCATTTTATGAATGTCAGGTGACTTGTGAAACAGTTGAGATGAGCTGGAGAGCTTTAAGTGTTTTCACAGACTTTTTAAAAACAACAGTTAACAAGCCCATCTTTCTTCACTGATTATTACAAGTATGCATGTGTCTCTTGTAAAACACATGCACCTTAAAATAAAGTTCAAAAGGGTCTCCTCATTGTGCCATGGTGTGTGTGTGTGTGTGTGTGTGTGTGTGTGTGTGTGTGTGTGTGTGTGTGTGTGTGTGTGTGTGTGTGTGTGTGTGTGTGTGTGTGTGTGTGTGTGTGTGTGTGTGTGTGTGTGTGTGTGTGTGTGTGTGTGTGTGTGTGTGTGTGTGTGTGGAACACTGATGGATGTCCTGTAAAACGTTTTGGTGTAAGTTCAGATTTCACTCACTTCTTTGCACACAGCCAGACACGGAGGATTTTGAATGTGTTTTTGGGAAGTGTATGAGCACTCTGATCTATGGCAGCACTGGCCAAATCAAGCAGCTCTCAATAACAAATGATGGGATAGACTCCAGCCTCCTTCTTTCTCACACACACTGTATTAGTCAACAATGGTTCATTTAATGGACATTAGGTCAAAGTTGACCTCCTCCAAAAACGAACGAGTAAATAGGTTGCGACATTTCAATTCCTTAGTAAATGATAACATACAGTGTGGGCCACCTGACTGAGAACTGGGAGTCAAAAATACAGTGAAGAACCTTGAGCTATATTACTCACTGTCACTCCTATTTCCCCTTCATTCTAAGGTTGTCTGACTTTGTGTCTACCTTGTTTGTGTTGTACAGCAGCTGACTTGTGATGATTGTATGACTAAATGTAGGTCAAACAACCTTTTGGTTTGTCCGTTTTAAATCTGCTTATCTATTCTTGACTTATATTCTTGGTCTTTTCTAGGTAGATGCTCTGCGTGTGCGTCTCGAGGAGAAGGAGCAGCTACTGACCAAGAAGACAAAGCAGCTGCAGGACCTGAACGATGAAAAGAGCACGCTGACAGGAGAGATCAGAGACATGAAGGACATGCTCGATGTCAAGGAGAGGAAGGTTCATGTCCTGCAGAAGAAGGTAAGTGAGTTCAGCGGTTGATTGAGATATTTGGCCCTTGAAATAAAGCAAATACAGCTTTAAGAAAGTCCTGATTTTAGTTGGGATTATAGTTGGTTACACTTAAAGAAAAAACCATCAGGGACTGTAATTATACGTCTGCCAATATACATTTGCCAGGAAAAACTATTGCTCATTTAATTCGATCAGTTTTATAGGGGAACAGTGTAGACATTTGATCAGGCACTGGTTTGTTTTCTGTCATCTGCTTAGTGAACCAGTCATATTGGAAATTAATTTTCTATTCTGGCCCCAAGACAATGTCTCTGGCATTGTGAATGGACTGTGAGAATGTTTGTTAAATTAATCATTGAATGTGTGCCTAGAAAGATGTGTCGCTCACCGATAATCTCTATTACATACAGTATGGTTAACAAAGATACACCCAGAGCGGCACACACACCTTTCTATATCTATATACTGTATATATGCACACACATTTACACACATATGCACACACACTCTGACATGGCATGTCTCCGAGGCCTTAATGACTTTTATAAGGTTAGCTATTTAGACAGACTTGTGGCCACCTGTGGTGTGCATGTTGGCAATTCCTCTTCAGACCAATTACACACACATAAAGGTCCCCTCTCAACTTCCTTGTTTCCTCTCATGTCCTCAAATTAGATCTCCTTCTTTCTCCTCCTCCCACCCTCCCACTTGCTGAGTTTAATGAAAAGGGGCTCCAAAGGTCACATGCAGTGTGTATGTGTGTGCATAAAGATGTTTTATATTTGTATGACATCAGGGTGTTTATGTTTGAGAAGGTTAAAGATGACCTTTACTGTATGTGCACCCTGCACTGAATTCCTTGGGGTCCCATAGCTCTTTATTTGAAGCACTTAATAAGCCTATTTGTATCAGATAAATGGACCCCCTCTGCTTTTTGACATTAAATATATTTAGTATTGTTATTTTTCTTTATTTTATGGCCAAATTAATGTTTCTGCTAGTTTATGTTGGTGGCATTTGGTTACATTAATGTGTCAGTGACAATATATTTTCAATCTAAGTAGATTGAGTTATTACTCTCAATGAGATAACTTTGGATCATGACTAGGCACTTTGTCTTGATGGTTGGTTTCTCTCTTAAAAACCTGCATCTCCTCATACATACATCATACATACATCAACATACTGGCAACCTTAAAAGCCTGCTTCCCATATTTATTATGCAACATTTTTATAGTAGTGACAGTTAGAAACAATATGAAATATACATGTATTGTGATACATACTCATAGACATAAAAGAGAGTGTTACGACACTGCTTCTTACATTTTTTTAAGGTGACACGAGTGAAAGAAGAAGATATATTTAAAGGAAGAACCAGGCCAAGTATCTTACATTGTGAACCGACAGGTGTTTCACTCCATTAGCCACACTGCATACACTGAACACAATCTGATCAGTTGTCCAAACTTCCTATTTCCCAACAGTCCCTGTGGGCTATAACTTACACTGCTGTGTCTCTTGGGAAAGGCGGGAGTGGAGCTAGGAGTCAAAGCTTGTTTCCTTTCTGGGCTTCATACTGCTGGCTTATCATAAAATACACAGACAAGCTCCGTGTGTGTGTGTGTGTGTGTGTGTGTGTGTGTGTGTCTACAGTATGTGTGTATGGTTGAAGTCAATGCAGGCAGCATGAATTCCTCCCTAGACACAAATCTAAATGCCAAGGATGTATTAGCTTTCCAAAGGGTGACTGCATGTTTCTTTGCAATGTTGCTGATCTGAGTGTGAACCTCGATTTATTATCTATAAAATAAATCTGTGCAATTCTTCGAGTTTGGCTTTGCAGCCGACAATTAATTATAAATTATGCCATTTTGAGGGATTGGTTATTTTCCACTGACACTGTTTAAAGGGATAGTGGAAATCCGCGAATTTTGGGTTTAACTTATGTATTTTTATTAAAAATAAGCATAATAAACATTTTTTTTTAATTTCATGCACCTAGTTTCATTTTATTTTCAATTTTACTGCGCCCTCTCAATGAAACGAAATACTTCGGGAATCGTCGGGAATCTTCGGGTGATGACGAGAGCTCAGGAAGACGGGCACAAACAATGGCGGACATTCAATAGCATTTGCATGTGAATAGCCGACCTTTATTATGGTACCGAGTATATTGCCATAAATATGATGATTGATTATCAGTAAAACATTATACGTGACACAAAGACATTGGATTAACCTTGAGATGCGTTTTTATTCCGTTGAACACAACTTTTGATCACAAATCAAAAAAGGTAAGACGTAATTATTGTAATATTTTTGGAACCGGATGTTGTTTACTTTCTCTTTTCTGGCTGATAGCTATAGGAATTCGAGGTCTTACAGTGATGACATTACACCTGTGGAGTCTCAGCTTTAAATCGTATATCTTGTTTGTGCAGTTAAGATAGTAATAAGGGCATTTCTACCGTGTGTTGTGTGTAAAAAAGCGTTAGCATTAGTTAGCATTGTTTCGCTCAATGCTAATTCAAAGGCTTGGTATTACTCTTGTGTTTTTTCTAGCTAACAATTGTTCTTATTGTCAGTTAGCGGAGTTTCTTACCTTTAAAAGGGTATGAAACATTAATAGTTTCATAAATGTTAAGAAGCCCTGAGACATGTGAGAGAAAAAAAACTGTGGGAGGGGTCCACTGGGGGGACCTTCGGGCGTAACTGGTTAACAATGATTAATATTTGTAAAGGCTACAGGTGATCTTAAGATGCGTGAGCTATGCTTAGGGACCTACCAGTCAAGATTATTTGTGCGTAGGGGTGCATCATCTGGCTCCTGGTCATCCTCGCCATTGCCCATGCCGTGAACCATCACCTCGGGCTCGAACAAATAAGGACGTAATGGTCCATCGTCTGGCTCAATATTGTCACCATCGTCGCTTACTGAACCGGATTCAGATTCAGTTCCTAAAACGACATTTTCGTAGGAAAGCCGAGAGGATGTTTCTGACTCGCTATCATCACTGGATACCTCGTACAATCCTTCTTCTTTGTCTGGTATATTTGCCCTTCCACGTTCATTCTGCATAGACGCCATGGTTTGTTATCGTATCGTCTTCCTACGTTTTCGTCACTTCCGGTTTGGCTGAGTCGAACATTTCGTTTCTAAAAAAACTTCGGGGAAGCTGCAATAAAGTGCTTCTAACATGCGTAAGGCAATTATTATATTTTTTTAATCAGGTGTGATTGTTTTGGTACGTAATTATGCTTGTATATAAGTTAAACCGAAACTATTTGAGGTTCCATTTCCACTATCCCTTTAAATAATTTCGAATGGTTTTCGCTGCAGTTTCCCTCTCGGTTCCTGGAACATACTTCTTGGATCTTTTTCATCTTCATTGCAGAAAACACAGAGCAGAATTTAATTTGAAGTATACACATACAGTCGGAAAAAAATGCATACACAGTTACAAGCACAACATTTGAGTGTCCTTCTGAATATATCAGTTGGTTGCTTCGTGCATCTTTCTGGGAGCACGTGCAGTCGCCCTGTTCGTTCTTGCAGGCCCAAACGGAGATGAAGCAGAAGAAGAATTGATCTGACATGTTGACAGGACTTCTTGTGCTGGCCTTTTTGTCATCTGCCTTCTTTTGAATGTAGGCATTTTTTGTCTTTTCCATTTCCTCCTTTTCCACCTCAAAAGCCCTTCTCAGCTCAGACATGGCGTCCTTTTCAGCGTTAAACGCTTTTCTCCTCCTGCACTTTTCCTCAAGCTCTTTCTTGAAGGCTTTTCTTTCATTTGCAATGTTCTCTTTCTCCAACTGCATAGCATCTCTCGTTCTTTGGATGTCTGTCTTGTCCTGAATGTAGGCCTTCCTCATCATTGACATCTCTTCCTTTTCGATCTGGAAGGACCTTCTATCATCAGCCATAGCATCATTCTCAGCTCGAAAGGCCTTTCTTTTCATGCGTTGCTCCCTGATATATTGTTGAATTCTTCTCTTTCTTCTTCTCTGTCTGGAAAGCGACTCTCATGGTTTGAATGTCTGACTTTTCTTTAATGATGGCTTCTCTGGTCATGGCCATTTCTTTCTCCAATACTTTTTTGTGCTTTTTCTCCAACTGCAAGGCATTTCTTTTCTCAGTCATTAGAGCACACTCTCTCTGAAAGGCCTCTCTCGCTGGTCAGGCTCTGCCTTTCCATCTCCAGAGCCTCCTTCATCATGTTTGTATGTGTCTCTTGACACAATAGTTTGTAGGCTTCTGCCTCGTTCTGCCACTCCAGCATGTTGTTCTCAACAGTAGGATAGAAACATCCTGCTGTTCTTTGTAAGGCAAAGACGGGCTCTGCATCACTGCAGGCTGGAGGAGATAGTATCATTACCATCATCGGTAATGAATACTATCTCCATGCTAACTAATGTTAGCCTCATGGTACAGAGGGATGTTGTTTCTCTGAAACTGCTGGGCATTTCCATCCAGCCAGTAATACTCTTCACCATGAGCTTGTTGTGGTTGGTGTTGTCAAAGCACATGAGGTGAATAGAGATTCATCTATAAGGACAAGAATATCAGTATTAACTTGATAAAAAGTGTTAAACACATTTTGTATTTAACCTAACCTTTTTGGTGAAGTTTAAACTAACAAACAAATATTACAGTGCTAATTTGAACCATTCCATTAAAAATGGTTTCAACCCCAACCCTTTTGGAAACCTACAGTTCATTACAATTGATGTGAGTACGGGTTTCCTTCCCAACTAGTGCTTATCTCAGAGATACATTGATCAGGAAAAACATTGTCTTACAAATGAAATACTTACTACCGAAAAAGGTGGGTCCTCCTGTAAAGGTTCCATCAAGGGAGTTTCAGGGTAATATTTGCAAGTGCAGTAGGTATTTGTTTGTCAATGTATCAGTGTGTTAGAGATCTGTCTGAAATGACCAATGTGCTGCTGAGCCTTCCAGACACTTAGAATTGTCTCTGTTATATTTCTAAGTTCTAATCTCC